TCACTGGAAAAGAGAATAATCCTAGGAAGAAGAAGAGAAGAGATGGGATTTATACCCCGCCCTTCACTTGGAGTCTCAGAGCAGCTTACAAACTCCTTTCCCTTCCCCTCCCCACAACAGACACCCTGTGAGGTAGAAGAAGAAGAGGAGATTGGATTTATACCCCGCCCTTCACTACCCAAAGGAGTCTCAGAGCGGCTTACAAACTCCTTTCCCTTCCCCTCCCCACAACAGACACCCTGTGAGGTAGAAGAAGAAGAAGAGATTGGATTTATACCCCGCCCTTAACTACCCAAAGGTGTCTCAGAGCGGTTTTACAAACTCCTTTCCCTTCCCCCCCCCCACAACAGGCACCCTGTGAGGTGGGTGGGGCTGAGAGAACTCTGACACAAACGGCTCTTTTTCAAGGACAGCTGTGCCAGAGCTTGTGACTGATCCAAGGTCACATCAGCAGGTGCGAGTGGAGGAGGGGGTTATCAAACCCGCTTCTCCCAGATTAGAGTCCGCGCACTTAACCACTACACTAAAAAGTGGCAGGTGGCAGGAAAAGAGGGAGACCCAACCCGAGGAGGACAGAGCTCGAGTCCAGCGACACCTTCAATAAAATTTTATTCAAGATACACGGTTTCGTGTGCAAGCGACACTTCTTCAGATACAGTAAAACAAGACTTCCTCAACAGTTACATATAGGTTGGGGGGGGGGGTTAGTTTGCCCGGAAGGGGGGGTTTTAGAGTCAAGATGCGTAAGTCACTGGGCAACCATAGCTGAGATTGGATTAAGGCAGTTGGCGAGATCTGTGAATGGTCAATTAGCATACAAATACAAGACTCAACAAACAGATATGAGAAGGAGGTTTGAGTCCAGCGGCACTTCCAAGATAACAAAGGGCAATTCTGGGTATAGGCGAGAACTGAGAGACTTCGCATGTGTAGATGCACACTCCCTCCGATACACTGAAACAGGTTTCCTCAAATGTTGCATATAGGTGGGGGGAGATAGTTGCTAGGAAGGGCTAATTAAAGTCAAGATACGTAAGTAACTGAGCAATAAATATAGCTAAGATTGGAATAACATGCTTGGTAAGACACACGAATAGCAGCAAATGGACATACATATACCGTAATAAAGGGATTAACAACAACAAATAGAGACGCCAATGTTGGATGAGGCCAAAGGCCCATCCAGTCCAACACTCTGTGTCACACAGTGGCCAGAAATACCAGGTGCTATCAGGAGGTCCACCAGTGGGGCCAGGACACTAGAAGCCCTCCCACTCTTGCCCCCTTCCACCAAGCACCAAGAAGACAGAGCATCACTTGCCCCAGAGCCCCTATCTATACCTTGTGGCTAATAGCCACTGATGGACCTCTGCTCCATATGCTTATCTAATTCCCTTTTGAAGCCGTCCATGCTTGTAGCTGCCACCACTTCCTGTGGCAGTGAATTCCATGTGTTAATCACTCTTTGGGTGAAGAAGTACTTCCTTTTATCCGTTCTAACCCGACCGCTCTGCAGTTTCATGGAGTGCCCACGAGTTCTTGTATTGTGAGAAAGGGAGAAAAGTACCTCTTTCTCTACCTGCACTTTCCCACGCATAATCTTATAAACCTCGATCATGTCACCCCTCAGTCGTCGTTTCTCCAAGCTAAAGAGCCCTAAGCGCTTTAACCTTTCCTCATAGGGAAAGTGTTCCAACCCCTTTATCATTCGAGTTGCCCTTTTCTGCACTTTTTCCAAAGCTATAATATCCTTTTTAAGGTGTGGTGACCAGAACTGCACACAGTATTCCAAATGAGGTTGCACCATTGATTTATATAGGGGCATTATGATATTGGCTGATCTGTGAGAGCTGAGTTTGAAGCCAGTGGCCTCTTTGAGACCAACAATTTCATTTCTTCGTATAAGCAAGAAACGAGTGACTTTGCATGTGTAGTGAGATAAGAGCCCGATATCTGTTAAGCCCAGGGAGTTCTATTGTCCCGAGTGTTGTAATAGTTTGTAATTCAACAATCTCCCTTTCCAGTCTGTTTCTGAAATTCCTTTGCAATAAAACAGTTACTTTGAGGACCCCGCTCTATAGGTTTCTCAGTTTTGTGATTCCTGATGTCAGATTTGTGTCCTATTTATCCTTTGGCATAGGGTTTGAACTTCTCAGGGCCATAGCCAGCAGTGGGAGCAGCATCCCCTCGTGATTCTGCAAAGTGGCACCTTTAAGACCAAAGTTTAATTCTGGATATAAGCTTTCGTGTGCATGCACACTGCTTTAGACAGAGTCAGATGGGTAAGTTCACACCTCAATTTAGAAAAGTGTGGGTTTTTAAATTGTAGCTGCGGAATAAAAACACTGGAGGAAAAAGAATGGTACGTAAGTCAAGCTTAAAGGCTTACCACTCAGAAAATCTGTAGTAAGGTGTGTGCGCAATGGGCCAAAGTTTGAGTCCAGCGGGCACCTTTAAGACCAATAAAGTTTAATTTGGGGTATATACGTTTTTGTGCGCTCTCACTGTACATCTGAAGAAGTGTGCATGCACATAAAAGGTGACACCCAGAATTAAACTCTGTTGGTCTCAAAAAGGTACCAATGGACTCAAACTTTGCAAGGCTGAAAGCCATCTACGAATATGAACCCGCATAACACAGAAAGTTAATTTTTTTTTTTTAAATCAGGACTCATAAAACCACAATAAAAGACGCCCTGCCACAGCCAAGGGCCCTGATCCCACCCTCTCGAGATTCGGTGAGAAACGCGGACTGTAAATAAAGAATCCATTTTTAAAAGCGTCACCAGCTCGCATTCCCCGAGGCGGAATCCCTGCCAGTTCCCAAAATGGATCCCCTGCGTAGCTTCAGAAAGATGCCAGATTCGAAAATGGCCGCCTTGGCCGGAAGCCGCCTGTGCTGGCGCTCGAGAGCTCCCTCGCGCGAGGCCGCCGGCTGCCTCTCCCGACTTCCTGGAGGCTTCAGTGCTTCCGGGATCACGTGACCGGGAGGCGCTCTCGGCCGCTTCTCTATGACCGCCCAGGACTGGCGTCCCTGATGTTTACATCGGAGCCTTCAGGGCTGGAAGTAAATGAGGGGTGGGCGAGTGGGGGGCGTCCAGGCAACGCTTCCGCAGTCTGCTCCGGAAGGCAGAAGCAAAGGGACTGAAAGGCTCCATCTATTTTGGGCGAAAGCGGAGGTTGGGAGATATGGGGGGGGGGGCGGCAGGGTTGCCAGGTCTGGGTGGGAAAATACCTGGAGACTTTGGGGGTGGAGCCAGGAGAGGGCGGGGTTTGGGGAGGGGAGGGGCCTCCGCATGGTACAGTGCCATAGACTCCACCCTTCCAAGCAGCCATTTTCTCCAGGGGAGCTGATCTCTGTCAGCTGGAGATCCGTCCTAAAAGCGGGGGATATCCAGGCCCCACCTGGAGGCTGGCAACCCTGGGGGGCAAAAGAAAAGAGTTGAATTGGGGCATGGTTGCCAACTTTGGGTTGGAAAATACCTGGGAAATTTGGGGAGGGTGGAGTTTGGCAAGGTGAGGGAAGGAGCTCAGCAGCCATCATAACATGGAGTCCACCTTCCAAAGCTGCCATTTCCTCCCCGGGGGACTGATCTCTGTCTCCTGGAGATTAGTTGTGATACCGGGAGCTCTCCAGGCCCCACCTGGAAACTGGCAACCCTAGTAAGGGCTGGCTGTATGCTAGAGGGGCTGGGAAGGCTGCGGAGTTTTGTAATGGGGAGTCCCCGGGCAAATAGGGAAAGGGGGCTGGATTTTGGCCATTCTCTTGAGGGTTGCCAAATCTAGGTGGGAAAGTCCCTGGAGATTTAGGGGAGGGGCCTGCGTAGGGCGGGGTTTGGGGAAAGACAGGGTGCTCAGCAGGGTGTCATGCCGTAGAACTTGCCTTCTGAAGCGGCCATTTCCTCCAGGGGAGCTGATCTGTGTCATCTGGAGATCAATTGTAACTCTAGGAGATCTCCAGGCCCCACCTGGAGGTTGGCAACCGGTTATTTTCTAACTCCCCACCCACCACAAAACTCTACCTTCCTCAGAGCCTTGCATATTCCTCTTCTGACAGCCTGCTCTCTCCAGTCACCCACCCACGCATACCTCCCAAGCAGTCTTCCCTCTAAGCTGAGTTAGTGTGAGCCAGCTTACAGTTCTTTAGCTTCCAGCTCACACATTTTCGCCTTAGCTCAGGAAGGGACAGCTCCAGAGCAAACTGACTGATGCAGTAGTCAAATCGCTCACTCACCACTTTAATGCCAGTCGCTCACAAAGGAGAACTTTTGCTCACAGCTTAGAGGGAGGATTGCTCCCAAGGGCTGCGGTTAGGAAAGCTGATCATTTCCGTCGCGGGGGTGGGGTTGCCACCTCTGGGTTGGGAAATTCCTGGAGATTTTGGGGGCGGAGCCTGGGGAGGGGAGGGGCTTTAGTGGGGGTCTAATGCCATAAGGCCCACCTTCCAAAGCAGCCATTTTCTCCAGGGGAACGGATTTTGGTTGTCTGGAGTTCAGTCGTAATAGCGGAAGATCGCCAGGTGCCACCCAGAGGGTGGCCACCGTAGATGAAGGTAGGGTTTTAGCACAGGTGGGGTGGGAAGACGGGCTTGGGAGCAAGGGAGGGGGGTCCGAAGGCAGTGCAGATTGCTGTGGCCAATGGGGCAGAAACTGACTCTGAAGAACAGCTAGAGTTGATCCCAATAGCTCCTTAGAAACCAACAAGATCTTTGGAGTACGAGACTTCCGGTTTGTGGCACGGCATCGCTGGAGGGCTCCAGGGTGATCTCCCGTGGAACCCCCGAGCCTCCTGGCCCCAGTGGGAGGATCGGAACGATCCAACCTCCCAAAGAGCTGTCTCGGAGGGACGCTCTTGTGGGGAGCTTGATTTGGGTGCTCTCGGGTGCGGTGGCACCCGAGTAGACCCCTTTTCGCTTCATAGCAGGGACCAGGAAGAAAGCGCTCAGAGCGGCTTACAATCTCCTTTCCCTTCCCCACAACAGACATCCTGTGAGGTAGGTGGGGCTGAGAGAGCTCTTTCGAGGACTGCTCTTTCAAGAACAGCTCTGAGAGAACTATGGCTTGCCCAAGGTCATCCAGCAGCTGCAAGTGGAGGAGTGGGGAATCAAACCCCGTTCTCCCAGATTAGAGTCCGCGCAGTTAACCACTACACCAACAGACACATAACGCCTTTTATTGGGACCCACCAAAATCACACAGCACAGTGTGCCGGCTTCCATCTTCTTCATAACTCTTTCCTGGGCTGAATGTTAAATAAACAAAGGAGGGAGAAGTCTGTGTGAGTAACTGACTGAAGGAATGGAGATTTGCAGCAAGTCTGCATTCCTCCTTCGGCTGATTTCTGCTTTTCTCTCTTTCTTCCCTCTCCAGCTCTAGTCTTCAGCCAGGAGGCACAGAAATATCCGACCCGCTTGCCCTGGCTTTGGGGGCAGGGGTCCCACTAGGCTCGCCATGGCACAGCAACGGGGGGTCAACAGCCTGCGCTTCAACCAAGACCAGAGTAAGTGATCACCTACCTGCTCAGACGCTCTTTTACAGGGAGTCAGGACCGAGGACACTCAGCTTCTCCAAATGGAAAGTCTTGATCCAGCAGGGCTCTTCTCATGTTCTTATGAAGGCCTTGGCTTCTATGCCCTGTTGCTGACCCTCAAGGGGAACTGGTTGGCCCCCATGTGAGACAGGATGCTGGAGTAGATGGACCACTGGTCTGATCCAGCAGGGCTCTTCTGGTGTTCTTATCAGGGGAAGGCCTCGGCCTCTCTGCCCTTTTGGTGACCCTCCAGGGGAACTGGTTGGCCCCCGTGTGAGACGGGAGGCTGGAGTAGATGGACCCTCGCTGGTCTGATCCAGCAGGGCTCTTCTGGTGTTCTTATCAGGGGAAGGCCTCGGCCTCTCTGCCCTGTTGCTGGCCCTCCAGAGGAACTGGCTGGCCTCCATGTGAGACAGGATGCTGGAGTAGGTGGACCCTCGCTGGTCTGATCCCAGCAGGGCTCTTCTCATGTTCTTGCCTCGGAAACCCCACGGGATCAGCATAAGTTGGCTGTGACTTGACGGCAGTTTACACACACAATCCACCGTGAGTCTCCATGAGAATGGTGGATTGTTAATAATGGCAGTAATAATAAAATATGCCTCGGGAGAGTGATGAGTATGCTCTCTGCTTCTCTGTCAGGCTGCTTCTGCTGTGCGATGGAGACCGGCGTCCGGATCTATAACGTGGAACCTCTCATGGAGAAGGGGCACCTTGGTAAGAAACCGACGAGCCAGGAAAGAAACAGTGGATCATCTCTCTCCACCCTGGCCTGGGGCGTGTGGTGGCAGCATCTCACGCAAGTTACGGAGACTGGCTGGCTTAAGGGGGGGGGGGTCCCTAACCAGCGTTCCCTCTAAGCTGAGTTAGTGTGAGCCAGCCCACAGTTTTTTCGCCTCCGGCTCACCCATTTTTGCCTGAGCTCCGGAAGGATGGCTCCAGAGCAGTGTTCCCTCTAAGCTGAGTTAGTGTGAGCCAGCTCACAGTTCTTTAGCCTCTGGCTCACACATTTCCGCCTTAGCTCAGGAAGGATGGCTCCAGAGCAAGCTGATTTACGCAGTGGCCAAATCGCTCGCTCACAGCTTTAATGGCAGTAGCTCACAAAGTAGAATTTTTGCTCACAAGGCTCCACAGCTTAGAGGGAACATTGCGCCAGAGCAAACTGATTTCTGCAGCGGCCAAATCGCCGGCTCACAACTTTAGTGCCAGCCGCTCACAAAGCAGAATCTTGGCTCACGAGACTCCACAGCTTAGAGGGAGCCTTGCCCCTAACCTTTTTGAGCCTGCGGGCACCTTTGGGATCCTGACACAGTGCGGTGGGTGCAGGCAGATAACGGCTGTCACAAAATGGCGTCTGCACGAGGGGGAGCCAGCCACAAAAATGGTCGCAGCGGCTTTCCTGTAGTCACACAGTAGAGATCCTTGTGCTGTGGTGGCAGCTACTGTCCAAGCAGTCTTTTTAAAAAATCTGCACAGCCCATTCAGTCTACAGTGGCCAAGTCAGAAGCCCTACTGGGCAAAAGCCAGGGTCACCAGGTCCCCTCGCCGTGCCGGCAGGGGGGTTTGGGGGCATTCCGGGACATCCCCAATGTGATGATGTCACCCGGACGTGACATCAGCGTGTTGGCGATGTTACACGACGACGCTCCGGTTTGAGGGCAAAACTCTTATGGTTTTAGGCCAGACTTACCATAGAGTTTTGCCCTCAAACCAGAGCGTCCCATGCAGTGTTCCCTCTAAGGTGAGTCAGTGTGGGCTAGCTCACATTTTTTTAGCCCCCAGCTCACACATTTTTGTCTTAGCTCAGGAAGGAGGGCTCCGGAGCAGACTGATTTCTGCAGGAGCCAAATGGCTCACTCACAACTTTAATGCCAGTGGCTCACAAAGTAGGATTTTTGCTCACAAGACTCCACAGCTAAGAGGGAGCATTGGTCCCATGTGACACCCCCTGACATGATTATGTCACTTCTGAAGAAGAAGAAGAGATTGGATTCATGCCCCCGCCCTTCACTCGGAGTCTCAGAGCGGCTTACAAACTCCTTTCCCTCCCCCTCCCCACAACAGACACCCTGTGAGGTAAAAGAAGAAGAAGAAGAGACTGGATTTATACCCCGCCCTTCACTACCCAAAGGAGTCTCAGAGTGGCTTACAAACTCCTTTCCCTTCCCCTCCCCTCCCCTCCCCACAACAAACAGCCTGTGAGGTAAAAGAAGAAGAGATTGGATTTATACCCCACCCTTCACTACCCAAAGGCATCTCAGAGCGGCTTACAAACACCTTTCCCTCCCCCTCCCCACAACAGACACCCTGTGAGGTAGGGGGGGCTGAGAGAGCTCTGAGAGAACTGTCCTTGGGAGAACAGCTCTGACAGGACTATGGCTTGCCCAAGGTCACCCAGTAGCTGCGAGTGGGGGATCAAACCCGGTTCTCCCAGGCTAGAGTCCACACGCTTAGCCACAGCACCAAACTGGTTTCCCAAGTGAAGTCATCGCATCGGGGACATCATGCAGTGTTGTGGCTTTTTTGGGGGGTGGGGTTTCCCCCACTGGCCAGTTGGCCGGTGGTGGACTGAAGATCTGAAAACCGGGGAATGCCGTACCCAGAAGCCCCCCTGGCCCTGCCCACTTTCTAAAAACACTTGATGGGCACCTGCAGATGTTCTTGGTGGGGACCACATTGGGGACCCCTGGATTAAGGAGTGGGATTAGAATCTGAGTTTTGGCCAGCTAGATGTAAAGTTCCCACATTTTCAAGCCACGGGGAGGGGGAAACGTGGGTGTGCATGTGTGTCCCCCCCCCCCCCCCC